TTAGGGCTTTGGGGTGTAATGTAGGATTTGGGGTTTAGGGTTTTGGGTTGGGGTTTAGGATTTGGGGTTTCAGGTTTTGGGGCTTTGGGGTTTAGGGCTTTGGGGTTTAGGATTTGGGGTTTAGGGTTTTGGGGCTTTGGGCTTCAGGGCTTTGGGGCTTAAGATTTGTGGGTTTAGGATTTGGGGTTTAGGGTTTTGGGGCTTTGGGGTTTTGGGGTTTATAGGTTGGGGGTTTAGGGCTTAAAGGCTTGAATGTTTGGGGATTTCAGATTTAGGCTTTTGCTGGCTGAGGGCCAATGTAACTTTAGGGTTCGGGACCTATTGAGATTGAAGGACGTTTTCGATTTAGTCTATGGAGGGGTTTGGATTCAAGAGGGGCCCAATGATGCAGTGGTTGGGAATTTGAAGCAGACATGAATATTTCGTAGGTTGCGATAGTTCGGGATACTTACAGCAGTGTGGAGTGTCGAGTATCTACAATAACGTCTGTCTTCGGGCCAAAACTGTTAACTAACTATAGAGCTTTTTGGCTTGAACCAGGAGACCCAGAGACTCCAATATGCTTTAATTTAGGAATATGGCTTAAATCATATGAGGGATCCTACTATAAGTTAAGGTACATCGGGATATTGGAGTCTCTGGAGATACGATGATGATTCCGAAGCCAGGGTTGAGGGCCGCAACCCTAAACCGCACACCCCAGGTTTAGGGTTTCAGGGTAGCTACATGGCGGACAGCACTTGAGAAACAGCTGTTAGGGTTTAGGGTTCAGGGATTAGGGTTTGGGGTTTAGGGTTTTGGATTTGGAGGGTTTAGGATGAGCCTGCATCAGACGCTCGACAGTCTGAATAGTCCATCCTAAACCCCACAGCTCTAAGTCCCTGCTGCCGTAGAGCTGAAAACCATGCACAGCACTCCTCCCCTCCGCCGAAGCCTTTTACATGTTTCAATTCCCGTAGGGTCCTGAGCAACTATGTTGTAAAATGTAGTGTAGGGTTTCTATACTTGGAATGACTAGTTGTATGATTTGGGGAAGTAAACCCTAAACCCTAAAGCCCTACTTGAACTCTAAACCCTGAAACCCTGCACCCTAAAACCCTATAAACCCTAAACCCTAACACCCTAAACCCTCAACCCCTTATAGGGTTCGGGGGTTTTAGGGTTTTAGGGTTCGGGGGTTTTAGGGTGTAGGGTTCAGGGGGCATAGGAGGCCAAAAGGGGCTTTAGCCTATGGGGGTTTAGTAGGGATTAGGGCATTAGGGTTCCCATAATAGGGTTCACATTAAGGAATCCCTACCCCAAGAATCTTAAACCCCCATTTTGGCCTCCCAGCACAAACCCGAAACAATACACCCGAAAAACCTAAACTAGATATCGATTTGGGGTAATGTTTAATTTCCCCTTAGTCTTCAATATAGAGCCCTAATTACAGATGATTTTTCGGACTGTGGAAATCGACGCCGTCAAAACTCCTAAACCCTAAACCTACACCCTGTTTCTAGAGGGTGCCGTGTGGGGCGAGCCGGATGCTTCTGCGGAGTGAAAGGCCCACCACACCTAAACTCTACACCCCAGACCCTACCTGTAGCCGAAAAACCTACCCTTTTAGGGTTCCTGATTATGGTTTCTATATACAGTTCCTTAAAAGGGGAGGTCTTTTCGGCTACAGGTAAACCCTGCCGGCAGGTTGCGCCATCTCCGGCGACGGAGAGCTGCATGCGCAGCTTCATCAACAGCCCCGAGGCTCCGCCCCACGCCCCAGCTTGACCTTGAGCCCCAGAGGATCCCTGAGTAATGTAGGAACCTGATTAAGAGACCCTGGCCCTATAACCCCAATATATTAGGATTCATATGAGGAATTATAAAAAAGACCCAAGGTTTCTTGATCAGGTTCCTAGAATATATATTCGAATGTAGGCGGTTTCTTACAATGAGTTCCATTAAGGGTTTAAGGTTCCTTTCAGGGTTCCTGCCAGTAAGTAGAATGTAGGGTTGCTCTACTAGGAATGTCTATGATGATCTGGCCAAGTATCCCTCATAGCGGTACCTGGATTCTTTGGAACCCCAAACCCCAGGGCTTACGCTTTTCGGGTTGACTTTAAAGGTTATGAGGGCTTTGGGGAGTGGGCCTTTGCGGTTCAGAAACGTCCTGGGTTTAGGGTTTAGATCGTGAAGAATTAGAAACTATATCATTATTTTGTAACAAAAATTTTCATCTAAAGGAAGAATCTTTAATTGCATGGGGGTGATATGTTTCTATATTAGTGCAAGCAAACTTTAACCCCCGGTGGTGTGTGGCGAAAGGTATGTTGCGTATCTTAGGGACGCTATGTTTGTCCGTCTGGGTTGTTTATACAATATACTTAATGTATTCCTCCTACGGGTTCCTCGTTGAGATTGACTGTATGCTACTAACCTGCCCAAATCCTACTCTGCTTGTTCCGGTTCCTGTATTTGCTGTACTGTAGGCTTTGAAGTGCTTGGGCCCTAGCCGTAGCCCGTAGCTTCGAGTTGCGGACTGTCTTTGAGTCGACACACCCCAGTTTAGTGATTCAGGCTGATTTAGGGTCTCCGGGTTTTTCGTTTATGTTTAGGGAGGATTTTGATAACGAGCCCCGAAGAAGAATGCTTATCTTGACCTTTCTGCGGTCTTAACCCTAAACCCTAAACCCTAAAGCCTAAACCGCAGACGGCACCCAGGAAATACGGCCGGTTCGACTTAATTTTTGAACCGGCTTTTCGGGCAGCTAAATTCACAGACTTCGGCTTAAAACCGGTTGGGGCGGTTAAATTTAGCAGATTCCGGCTCTAACCGGGCGGAGCGGTTAGATTTAACAGATTCCGGCTTCGACGGGGCGGGGTGCTTAAGTTTAATAGGTTTCGGCTTTAATCGGTCGGGGTGGTTGAATTCAACCCAAAGCCCTAAGCAAACAAAACACCCCTTACACGCCCATGCTTCGTCATCCGGAATGCCGGCCCCGACGACTCCCGGTCCACGCCGCTTGTGTGGAGCTCAACATGCAAACCCCAGACATCTTACTGTAAAGCCAAAAACCTATAAGCTCCTTCGAACCTTCTAAGCAGAAAAGGGCAAATGCTAAGCACCCCAGAACACACTAAACAATCCCTATAGGCATTAAGCCCTGAACAAAAGAAGCCCTAAACCCTTTTTGACAGGGTAAAGAGCCCTCAATTCCAATCTTCTGGAAGGGCGCCGTCTACGCGCAGCGCTGCGCGCAGCCCTCAACGGTTCCGAACACGGCTCGGGAGGCACCTTCTGTAATGGAGGCTTCGGAACATATGTTTACGGAGTCCCTATGCGTAATTACAAACTTACAATGCATTGCATACCCCAAAGCCTTTTTTCTTATTCGCTAGGCCAACATATTTGTGAAGGCTTTACTTTACTTCTGTTCTCGTCAGTGTTTTGTCCTTGCATTTTGCATTTGAGGTCCGGATTCTTCTCTGTGTGTGTGTCTGTGTGTCTGTATGTGTGTGTGTGTATGTGTGTACCCATAGGCTCCATAGTGGTTCCTTTTGGGGCTTACTTTATAGGATTCTAAATGTCACTCCCAAAAGGAACTATTATGGAGCCACTAGGTATGTATACAGTAAGTATTTTACATTACAATACGGAGTTCCAACATATCATATATGCGGGTATCATAGGTGTGGTTACAGTTTGAGCGCTCAGCTGTTCGGTTCATGGCCACTTAGAAGCAGGGTTGCAAGTCTGGCAAGTATGGTTGCCTGAAACCCTGACCTCTAAAGTTCATCCCTCCGAACCCCAAGACTTTGAGCCCTGAATCCTAAGCCCTCAACCCTAAATCTTAAACTCCCTCAACCCTAAACCCTCAACCCCTCATAGAACCCTTATAGATCCCTTTAAAGGAACCCTTATGGATCCCTTTAAAGGAACCCTTATGGATCCGGTTAAAGGAACCCTGAACCCTAAACTCCCCCGAACCTCAACCGCCAGGTTTCCGAGTGGGTCCCCAAAGTTTCTCGGAGCAACGGAATGCTCCAAGCCCAGCTCCATTTGGGAGTTTCCGAAAATTAGGGGTACCTTATTTGGAGTCCTTATAATACGGATCCTACTACTTAGGGTACTATATTGGGGTCCAGGGTTACGTGTTTAGGGTTTCAGGGTTCAGGGTTTGGGGTTTTGGTCGGTTGTAGGGGGTTTAGGGTTCAGGGTTTGGGGTTTTAGTCGGTTGTAGTGGGTTTACGGTTTAGGGTTTCAGTTCAGGGTTTGGGGTTTTAGTCGGTCGTTCTAGGGATTGGGGTTGAGGCCTTTAGGGTGTAGCCGTTGGAGTTTAGGGTGCTCAAGTACACGTTGGATGGATGAAAGCCTCAGACCCAAAAGCCCGCTGTTAGAATCCTATAAGGTAACCCCAGAAAGGAACTACTATGGAGCCTATAGGTAAACCTGCAAACCATGAAGAATCCCCGTAACGCTTAAGATATCTTCAAGGATTCCTGTCGACACGGAAATGAGTTGGGTCTTGGGGGAAAACGCACTCCGATCCCACACTTATTGGAACCATGACGAGATGCTGATCCCAGATTTTCTAAGCGACTGCCAAAGAAAAGAACAGCGTGACTGAAGCAACTTTGCGACGTCTAACACGGTTTCTGCGGTTCCCTCTTATGATTATGGTAGACTACAACATACTACAGCACTCTGCTGTCGTGGTGGGGTTTGCCTAGGAATCTTCTTGTTTTCTCTTGATGGGTCTGTGGTACCGAGGCCTCAAACTTGTTAGAACGCTACCATAGTATCTACGCATATTACGCGAGGGAGGTTCATGGGTAGTTATAAGTGGAGTTATAAGTAGGGTAGCTATTTATAATTATAACCCATATTAGGGGACTTGTAGCCCCACTTATAACTACCCATGAACCTCCAAGTAGTCTAAGTAGTCTTAATTCAGCCCTGTCTTGCACTATGGATCGCAGCCCTTTTGGTCAAGTTTCAAGCCCGGGTCTCATAGATTCCCATGGCTGCTGCAGTGGAGGAAGCCCTGAAAAAAGCCGCGCTGGCAGAGGCCGAGAACGCCGTCAAAGCACGAGAGGCCGCTGGCTGATACGAGCTGTACAGCGCGTCATATTCGGTTTTGGGTGTCGATTCAGTTCTAGTGATCACCATCACCATCCTCATCATGGTCATCCTCATCTGGCGCAACATGCTTCCCGAAATCACAGTAGCAACACGGAGCATTGAAAGTGAGGCCACCCTCGCCCATGTGGGCTATCCCAACTTTGGGAAGTCGGACCATGAAAAGCTGGAGCCAGACGACTGGAGGTCTCTTGGTCCGGCATCTGAATCATAGGAGGCCAAAAGGGGTTTTAGCCTATGGGGGTTTAGTAGGGATTAGGGTTCCCATAATAGGGTTCATATTAAGGAATCCCTACCCGAAGAATCTTAAACCCCCCTTTTGGCCTCCCATCACTGAAGCATGAGTTTACCCTCATAAAGGTTCAAGCACAAAACTATCATATACTCTCCCAATACTAACCTACATACCTACTATCCTAAACCCGAGTACCTAAATATTGGGTCCTTTGCACCCTTGGGGTTAGGGTTGAGGGTTTGGCCAAGCCTAAACTTTCAGCCTGCACAAACCTGGGCCATAGACCAAAAACCGTAAGCCCTCGAAGGCGTAATGGCGAGAATCTCCGTCAAGACGCCGTGCACTTTCCAAGTGCTACATCATTCCAAAATGTTCTCCTGAAGTAACGTGTAGGTGGGCAGAGGGTTGCGATGATACTTGCTGGGATTGAAGCTGGGATGAACCAGAAAGGAACAAGACATGCGTTCCGCCAGGCACACCAGGGGCCTTGAACTTCATTGCACCACAGATCGCCCCCAAATCCTTAGTCTTCTCACCCTAAATCCCAAACCTTCTCAAACCCAAATCTCACCAACAGAATCCGACACCCTAAAGCCAGGACGAAACATCCCAGATGCTCTAAATCCTAAACCCCCGAGACCGTGTAGGGGTTAGGGCTTGAGGGTTTTCAGATTTTGGGTTGGGAGTTTAGGGTAAACCCTAAGCCAAAAAGTCTTATAGATAGACCCTAAATTCCAATCCCAGGCACACGGATCGAAGAGATGACATAACTTCTGCAGAGCTGCAGCTTGCAAAGCGCTGTCATGGGGCGCATATTGAGACGCTTTCACAGGAGGTCGGAGACCCAAAGGGTCCAAGTATCATTCTGGTATATACTTATAGGGCATTTTGGGGGTCTAACTGGGTTTGGGATTTCGGCGTTTAGGGCTTAGGTTCGGAGCTCTGAGGCTGCAAGGCTTGGGGAATGCCGGATGAGGCCTCTGAACTTGCTTCTTTCATTGCGGCTCCGACAATGACCCTTAGAAAGAATGAAAGGAGCCCTCAATGCGAACCCCAAGCTAAGGGCGCCACAGCTTTCGAACACTCTTGTAGGTTCTCTTGTCTCCGGGGTTTCGCCACTGTGAAGACTCTTTCTCTGTCATGCGGAGACCCTCTACCGTATACCCACACAACTCTGACTCAGCCTAAACCCTTAACGCCCTCAATGGGCTTAGGGTTTAGGCCCTGAGCCCTAAATCCCTAAAGCCCTAAACCCTATCCCTTAGTTAAAGCCCTAAACCTCAAATCCCCGAACCCTAAAGCCCTAAACCCCAAGGCTTAGTTAAAGCCGTAAACCCAAAGCCCTTAACCTTAAGCCTTAAACCCTAAACCCTGAGCCGTACATAAAGCCGTAAAGGTGACGGCCGTGGGATCGCATTATTTGCTCATCCACTACGATGTGCCCTACCTGAATGCAGAGACCTTCAGACTAAAAGTCTGTGGCCTGGTGGAGAAGGAGTCCAGACATGGTTTGTAGGGTTTAAAAGGGTCAGGGCAGAAATTACCAGGACCCCTCCCAAGGGTCCCTTTACAGAGCTTACGGTCGTTAATTGGGGTATTTCAGGTATATTAGAAGGTTGTTAGGGTCTAGGTAGGGTTTCGGTTTAGGGATTCAGGGTTCAGGGTTGTGGGTTTGGTAAGTTTAGGGTTTGTAGCGTTGAGGAGCCCGAAGCACAAGTCAGCGGTGTAGGGTATGGTTCCGAGAATGAGCGGTGTCAGGAAATGGAACGGCCAAATCCCCAGTTACTCTTCCGACTGGGTTCCTGTTAAGAAAATTTGGTTGAAGTTGACATAAAACGGATCTGAGGTACACAGCTTACATTGATCAATATTTTTAAGTAATAGGGATCCATAGTAAACAATAGGGTTTTCCGTATTTCTGGTAACTTACATTATAGCTCCTTGTTAAGAACCCAGGAAGAAGCTCCGACATGATCCGGGGCTGCTTGGGGTTCCCTGCTGTCGCTGGCAGGAGCTGTCCTTGTCCTTGCCGGAAATTCGGAGCCGGCCGAGTACAACTCAGGCAGTTCATGACCGAAACACATGGGGGCATCCAGCAATTAGGGGTGCGCTGTTCAGGGGTCCTGATAATCAAGCTCGGCTTGGACGACGGTCCTTCGATGTGTGCAAACCCCAGATGGTAGCCAGTCATGTCTTTTCAAGACAACTGAACTCGAAACACGCAAATCGAAACGCGAGAAGCCCCAAACACCCCCTTGCCCGAAGCCGGTTCAGCACCAACAGCCACGACTTTCAACTACCGAAGCCTGGGGAAAAGCATACATTTCAGCATCGGCAGCAAGAGCAGTAGCGGAGCAGTTATGTGAGACTTCACATGGCTGCACAGCGTTTGCAAGGCACTCAATATGTCTGCCACAAGCTCCCCTTTTGTGACAGCGAAGGTTCCTGAATCAGGGACCATGCTCTGAAGGCTCCCTTTGAACACCAAGCCCCCTGATCCCCTGAACCCTAAACTGGAAACCCTAAACCCTAAATCCCTTCAACCCTAAGCTTAAACCCGAAACCCCCGCAGGCCGTGCTGATGGCCTGTGCAGGCGGGGCCTTGGTTGGATGGGAGACGCCTATGACTTTAGTGCCTTTTTAGGAACTGTGTTTTGATCTTATTAATAGAATTATGCCTCTATTCTGGTTTTGAGGGCGGCCAAAGATTAGAAAACCTTACACCGGAACGCATCGCATTGCAGAACGTCGAAGCTGCGGGTGATAGATTAAGCCCTTAATGTTAAATCCTAGACACTAGACCTTGGCGCCCCTTGGACGGCAACAAGAAACCCTAAAGCCTAAACAACCCTTAACCCTAAACCCTAGTCTTACTGATCTTCGAAAAGATTCGTTTGATCAAGAAATGCACCTTCAAGCATGGTCGGACCCGAAAATGTGATTTAAGGAGTAGTCCTTTTAGCTAGCCCCAAGGGTTTAGTAGTTATGTAGGTTACTATTGTGGAGAGTATATGATAGTGAGGTACTTGGACCCTTAGGGTAGGGTATTTTGGCAGAGCCCTGCTACTTGAGGCTTTAGAGTCTGGGGTTTAAGGAGTTCAGGGTATAGAGTTTAAGGTTAGAGTGCAGGGTTTAGAGTTTGGGGCTTCAAGGGTTTGGGTTAGGGTTTGGGGGTCGTGGGTTGGGAGATGTTGGGGGGTCTGTCTGCACGATGCTTGAGCTCGTTCAAGAGGTGCGCTGCAACGATTTCCGAAGATCTGCTTCCAAGAAATCCCAAGCAATCCCCGCCCCTGATAACGGGAACTACAAAAGATACACTGTAGTATATAGCCTCCCCCTATAGACCCTCTAGTATAGAAATCTTTTGCTATAATAATCATTTAGGAACTATAAATTATATCATACTACCCCTCAAGCCCCTATTCTAATAATACTCTGTCCTTCTGGATGCAGTCGAGCACCTGTCCTTAAACCTGGTCTCTAAAACGAACTGAACAGCGAAGCCCTAAGGTTCCGAATTTGGGGGTTCAGGGTTTAGGGTTTAGGGTTTAGGGTTTAGGGGTTTAGGGTTTAGGGGTTTAGGGTTTAGGGTTTAGGGATGGGGGTTCAGGGGTTTAGGGTACACAGGGTTTAGGGTTCAATGTAGAGGTTTGGGTCTTTGGAGTTGGAATTTTGCGGGCCTGGGCCCTTCGCCCTGAACACTAAACACGAGACCTTAACCCCCAACAACCATACTACCTTTTTAGGGTTCCTTACTATGGTTTGCTTATAGAAGTCCTTAAAAAGGGAGGATGTTCAGGGTAATGTAAGCCCTACAATCCTACCCAACCCTAAACCCTAAACTAAGCCCTATATCCCTGATAGAACCCTTATAGATCCCTTTAAAGAAACCCTTCTGGATCCCTAAACCCTGTAACCCTCAAACCTTAAGGCCTGCCTTGCAGGTACCGGGCGCATGTCGCAGAAGCACCGGTTCTGGACCCACGTGCCCTGGGGCGTGGACTCTTTCGGCTGTGCGGAATGGACAGGTCCTGTAAGGGCGGGGGGGGTGAATATTTAGAGTAAGCTTCCTTTAAAGGGTTGAAGGCTTCCCTTGAAGGGGCCAAGTACAAGGGTCATTATATTAGGCTCCTGTCTGTAGAGGTGCCTTTGCTTAAGCGCTTTTAACGGCTGTTGAACTATATGGCATTTAGCTCCTTTTGGGGTGCTTTTCCTGTTCAGGGTCTCCGTCGAAATCCTTCACAAACGCCTCATCTGGGAGTCGGAGTTTCGCACTCGTGCTGTAACCCTAAGGGTCCAAAGGACCCAATAATCAGGTACTTGGGTTTAGGATAGTAGTTATGTAGCTCAATATTTAAGAGAGTATATGATTATTATGTAATTACTTGGACCCTTAGGATAAGGGTATACCGGTAATGCTCTTATTAGGCGTGCTCCACTGCTTTCGTCTGCAAAGCGCAGGTTGCAGTCTAGCTGATCTGCTCAAGGAAGCGGGCCTGAAACCCGGAGCAAAGCAGGTGGGCAGGTTTAGGGTTAAGAGTGTCCGGGTTGGTTAAGAGGGTCCGTGATTGGGCTTAAGAAGGGTTTGGTGTTTAGGGTTGGGGTGTAGGATTTAGGTTATAGTGTGAAAGTAGGGTTAGGAAAACCTCGAACCTGGCCGCACAGGACATGCGAGCAGTCAGATGTCCTTCTTGCTCATGCAGTTTAGGGTTTTTAGGGTTCGGGGATAGTTGCAGGGCGCCCCATTTTCTGGAGGCTTTCATGTTGATTCAGCTAGACAACATTCAGAGTGTTTGTCCGGGGTTCGCCTTGGCAGCCAGGTCATCTTCACCGGTGCAGACAAGGGTGTCGAGGGCGGCAAGGTGCAGCAAGAGCTTAAGCCAAAGCTTGAACCTCAAGTTTCAAACCCCACAAGACACGATGCACAAGCCTGAAGCCTATGTATGAGCCCTAAATACACCTTAAGCGTTCGGGGGTTCGGGTGCGAAGCTGATGCTTTTGGGCTTGGGCCTCTAGCATCTAAGATTAGCTTAGGGCCCTAGACTCCCAACCTCATGCCCTCATCTCTTAAACCAAGCCTACCCGTAGGCCCCCTAATGGTTCCTTTTTGGGGTTCCTGTGTAGACTTCTAGAAGGTAGTCCCAAAAAGGAACTACTATGGGGCCTATGGGTAAGCTCTCTAGTTTCGGGGTCTGTATTCTCTCGAGGATTTTATCTCCTGGCTGCCCTACACCTCCGACCCGAACGCGGAAGGTGCAGCATTTCCAACGCTCCCTCTCTGTAGATGACGCCTTGCTGGGCCATGTCATGCTGGTCTATCGTACCTCGGCTTTGGGTCTCTAGTGGGCTTCGTGTAGGTTTTTCGGTTTACCGTTTAGAGTTTCGGGCTTCGGTTCCTGCCGGGCTGACCCGCTGCGCGATTCTAAGTGTTTTTGCTTGAGGGTGTGGCGGGTAGGGGGTGTTTAGAGGTTAGGGTTTGAGTTCAGTTAAGGCCTCGGGCTACTTAAGATTCATAAGTTTGGCGGTCGAGGGCTGAAGGTTGTAGCTGCAATGACAAGAGTAGTAGCAGCAATAGTGGTACTTGGACGAGTAGTACTAATTACTTCTTGGTGGTGCCGTTTCACACTGTGTCTCGCCGTCTTGCAGGATTGCCGACATTCCAGGCTTAGTTGCTTCCACGTCTCCCTTCAACTGCCATAGATTCCAGCAGATTTCCCTTCAGGAACCACCAAACTCCAACTGCCGCCAAATCCCCTAAGTTAGAAAACTCTGACACGCTTTGAGAAACCCGAGACCCAGTAGCATCTTAAAACACAAACAGTAACCTGAAGACACCCCATTTAGGGTTCAGGGTTAAGCGACATAGTCAAACGGAAGACATCCCAAATCCGACGCCTCAACTCAATGTCAAGCAGAACTGTCAAACCCTAAGCCCTAATCCCTAAGTCCCAAGTAGACCCTACATCCTAACCCCCCTAAACCCTAAGCCCTAATCCCTAAGTCCCAAGTAGACCTTACATCATACATCCGAACCCCAAAGGCATGAACGGTGAAGACTTGAAGCCTGCGCATGGGGCGCCCTTGCGCATCATTGCCTCTTGGGCTTTCGGTATCAGGTTTTAGAGAGTTCATAGGGCTCAGTTTTTTTAGGGGTTTCGGGTTTTTGTGTCAGGGTTTAGGGTTCATTGAGGGTTGGGTATTTGGGACATATTATAACATAATGGTGCAGTAATCGGGGCTGCCAGGGCATACTTTCTGATTCTTGTCAGGCAGACCTCTATATTAGCCTTTGAGAATTGAAGCTTTCAGTTGGACGTTTAGATTTAGAGGTATGGTTTTGCCCGAATTCCCAGTTCCAAGCCCTGAACTGTGCAATATCTGGGAATGACAAAAGAAGCCAGACAATGGCCCTCCAATCATAGGAACTCTTAGGGGTGTAGGGGGAGGGGGGGTAGGGGGCCTTAATGCCCATAATAAGGACTAATAAGGCCTATTTAAGGTGAGAATTAGAACCTAGAAATCAAAGTAGCCACAGCTGAACCAAGAGCTCGAGATTATGGGCGGCCTTACGTCACGTCATCAGTCCAGCCCCCAAAACTCGAACTCGAGCTGAGGCCGTGAATCTTGAAGCCGAATGGGAGTTTCCGAAAGTGGGCGTACCGTATCTTGGGATGCTTTTTACGGATCCTACTATTTAGGGTACTCTCGCTATTTTCGGAAGCTCCCTAATCAATCCCTGCAGTGACCAACAGCCTTGAAGCCTCGACCTCCAGCCCTAAAACACGGAGGCCCCACAGCCAAATGCCCCGAAGCCTGGAAAGGCTCTACAGAACCCCTATCGTTCTTGTCAAACTTGTACACCCCCCCAACAACACCCTGTAGCACCCCATTGAACCCTTATCAAACCCTACCCTTTCCCTACTAGAATGCCCCATACGGTTGATGATATAGTATACATCCTGCATTACCATAATGGCCCTATACTATGTGAGTTTTGGTATATTCCTTTCTATGAGTAATGCAGGGTTTATGTCGTCAACCGTAGGACTCTCAAGGGAAAAGCCCAAGGTTCCGGGCTGGTATGGTATGGCCTCGGTCAAATGGCTGTGCCTGGGACTACACACATGAGAATCGGTTTCAGCGTGTAAATAATGTAGACCATTGATTTCTAAACCCCTACCTTAAAGTCCCAATATCAAGGCCCTGAAGGAAAGGAGGGCTCTTTAATCAGGGAATCTCGGGTCTGAGCAGTTACCATGTATACTCCGTTAGCTGTATAATCCTTGCTTATCTTTGATGGCCTTCGAAGTTGGACTTTGTAGGAAGCGAGCTACTATAGGGGCTAACTAATTATCTATACTATTTTGGGGGGCCCCTTATTATAATTGTAGTGTATAAAGGGCACCAAAACCCTATTCTAATGATTAAGGCCCCTATATCAAGCCTTGGGTTACCACCGCCGGTGTCTTGGTGGCATGCATCCCTAAACCCTAATGAACCCTAAATCCTGAATCCTAAATCCCCAACCCCTCAACCCTAACTCATAAACCCTGGGCTCTAAACCCTAGACCCTAGTCTGGGTGGCATGCATCCGAGGACGAGTATCGAAATCACAGAGGGCGGATGGTGGGGACACCAGATGGAGGCTGCTTGGATAGAGATTAACATTATAGGGGCCTTAGTAATTCGAATAGGGTCTTGGGGTTGCTTTAAAAGGGGTTACTATAAGGGCTACTTCAAGGGTTCCATAATGTAGAGGGTATAGTAATTGGAGTAGGGTTTTAGGGTATGCTATACTTTGTTTATATTCAGGAACCCTCAAATTAGCAGTATTGGTAACTATTAAGGCCCCTCAAACCGTCCAATACTACATCAGAATGTATATTTTAAACGCATCTTTTTTACTCAAGACCATGCCATGGCGTTCTTTGCTTTACATCTGGAAGACTCCTGGGTATTTCTCAGTACGGTTACAGAAGTCATGGTATCCTGTTACCCTGTTGTAGCCCGAGTGCAGGTACAAATAACCCCAGCTGCCTATAGAACCTTCATGCAGCCTCTAAATCCTGTCAAAAGACGAGACGGGCCTAATGGAATCCTGATAGGGAATCCGAGTTTTAAACGACTTACTACATCTTCTGGTCCTCCGAGTGTGCAGCATGGTTCAACCTTCTGAAGGCTGCGGTTATGCTGTTTGTCATTCAGCATGCCACATACAAAGCTAGGTTTCGATTTGGGGTCATTTTCAATTTCCCGTATTGTGCAACAGAGAGCCTTAATTTCAAGTCATGTTGGGGATTGTCGATCGACACCTAGATCAAAGGGGCCACAAATGAATCAGAACTGAGATTCTTTTTCCCTGCCCGTAGTGACTTTCACCTGCGAGGGAGCCAACACGAAAGCTTGCCGCGATCCTTAAGTCCAGATTGAGCCTCATACAACACGCACAGGCACAGAGGCCAAAGCATACTATCGTATCCGGGGCTGAGTTATACTCTGGCATGCTCCGAAATCAGTGCTTGGAGGCTCAGGGGACCAAGTCTGAAGGGAATGGCATTCGGGGCAACTTCAACATACGTGCTTGAATAGCAAGATAGTATCGCTGCACATAGTTGAAATTCACACCTAAACCCTGAACCTTAATCCCCTCCAGCCCTTCACCCAAATAATTGCCTCAACTCTGAACCCTAATCTCCAAACAGACAGGCCTATTCCTTCCGGCGAGCGGCCGATGATCCCGGCCGGGTGCCCCTCACACAGCTGCCGGTGCGTGCGCTGATGGCCCCACCAGGCTGCACCGAGAACCATCGGGTTTAGGGTTCAGGCTTTTGGGTTTAGGATTTAGGGTTTAGGGTTCAGGCTTTTGGGTGTAGGGATCCAGAGAATAAGGGGTGCGAAGCAGTAAGCCTCTTAGGGCTTTAACTTTAGGGCATCTGCTTTGGCACTTCAGGGTTCCTGTGCCCAAACCCTAAACCATCCAGTCGTTTTCCGCCCTACCCCTAAACCCCTAAACCCTAAACCCTGTACAGAGCCCTTACAGATCCCCTTGACGGAACGGAACCCTTATGGATCCCTTGAACGGAGCCCTAAAACCCTAAGCCCCGAAGCACTGACTGGAGGCTTTCCTGACTTCTTCTCGCGAGCGCGGGTGGTCGCTCCGGGCACGCATCGGGTCGTGGGGAAGGCCCATGGGTCGTCCAACATTCAGGGTTTCTGGCTTAGGGTTTAGGGGTTAGGGGTTTAGGGTTTGAGGGTTAGGGCCCTAACGGTTAGGGTTTAGGAGTTTAGGGTTTATGTGTTTAAGCGTTTCGGTTTGTGTTTGAACCTGAAGTGTACGAGAGTTGCCGGGACGAACAACCTTAGATTCTGCAGGCGTTGCGTCCCAAGCCCTCAAACTCGAAAGACCCTACCCCTCAAGCCCTACAGCCCTACATTGCCCTTACAGTGTTGAGAACACTTAGAGGAGCCCTTAAAAGAATGATTTTAGAAGGCCTCCTAGGTGTCCCGAAAGGAACCCTCAAAGGAGATTTGAAGGAGCCCTTAACGGAATCCTGAAAGGAGCCCGTAAACGAACCTCTAAGAATTGAACCATCGTAGAAACCGTGCAGCGAATCCAATCACAGAAACCCCTCGAAGGAACGGACTCCTTTAAAAGGTTCTTGTTAAGGGATTTAACTTAAGCAACCATGACAAGGAAACCGTATTATCTAGTGTAGATCCGTCTTATGGTAACTTAAATTAAATTCCTTAAGCCCTAAACCCTAAACCCTTTAAGAAACCCTAGACCCTTCTGGAGCCCTTTGAGGAACCCTTAACCCTTGTGGAGCCCTTTCAGGAACCCTAAACCCTTAACAAGAACCCTAAACCCAAAATCCTCAACCCTAAGCCCTAAACCCTAAACAAGAACCCATCCCAAAAGTAGATCCCTTAATGGGGGTTCCTATAAAGTACCCTTAGTAGTATAGGGCCCCAAATTAGGGGGATCTACTTTCTAGATCTTAACGGCATTCCCTGGTTTCCTGTAGAAGCTCGGCAGGTCTGGGCTGGTGCAGTCGAAATCGACCGTGTGGAGTTCCCCGCTGGTGCATAAGGGAGAGTTTGGGGCTTTAGGGTTTGGGGCTTGGGTTTTAAAATAGGGCTTAGGGTTTGGGGCTTTAGGGCTTAGGGTTTAGGGCTTCGGGCTTAGGGTTTGGGGCTTGGGCTTTAGGGCTTTAGGGTTATAGGGTTTTAGTTTTTGGGGCTTGGGGTTGGGGGTCTAGGTTTTAGGGTTTAGCGGATGAGGGGGAGGCAGTTTGGAGACTACTACGGCTACAAGAGATTATGTAGGGACTACCTTGAGGCTCCACTGTATTTCCTTTTTCTGGTTCTTGTTTGTCATCCTATAAGGTACTCCCAAAAAGGAACTACAGTGGAGCCTGTGGGTAATAGGGATCTAGTCTCCCACCCTCCCTAAGCCCTCAATCCAAGAGCCCTCAAGCCTCAACAATGAACCTCAAACCCTCCATCCTAAACCCCAAAACCCTAAACCCCAAAACCCTAAACCCCAAAACCCTAAACCCCAAAACCCTAAAACCCCCCCTCTGAGCCCTGAGCTTGAGACCCATTACCCTAAGGGTCCTAACACTTTAGGGAACCTCAAAATGTAGGATTTCTGTGAACCCAAAGAGACCCAAGGGCTCTCCCTAGGAGATTCCGGACCCTCCTAAGGAGATACCCGGACCCTTAGGGTAAGCACCAGCAAGGTTCTCCGCTGACCATGGGAAGACGTGGGCCAAAGCCACTTTGGAGAGGACAGGTTACTTTGGGCGTAGCGGTTGGGGCTTAGGGTTCAGTAGCTAGGGGGCTATACTATAATATATTGCCATGTACTACAGTATATACTATAATATACTGCAACATACTACAATAAACTACAATAAGGGCTGCGGGCTGTCTTGGATGCAAGGTTGGAGGTTCGGCGCGTTGGGCTCAGCGAGGTTGGGCGCTCGTTGCGTCTCAACCCGTAAGCCTATGCAATTTTCAACCCCTCAGCCGGAAAGTCTGGACAAGTTGCATGGTAGTGAGATGAAGGGGCCCGAGTGTTTCAGGTGTTGAACTACACCGGGATACTGTTGCCAACTTTCCTGCACTTGTTGGGGTGTTACTCAGTTGTGTCTTTCGGCCTAGTCTGCTTTGGTTAGTTTCTCCGTTTTGGCGTCCATGCTTAGGCCTGACGTTGATATCGAGTTGAGATGCAGGTCGAAGCATTCGGGTTCGCAGTACCTACGACACCTCAGACTGCGACCCCTCTTCTTGTAGACTTGAGCTAGATCTGGCGAGTCTGGGACCGGCGCAAGAAACAGCGGGCTTCCTGGAGTTCTTGTGGGCTTGTCGAGTTATATAGGTGGCTTTCTGTGTGGGTGTTTTACGTTTTGGATGGAAGGGGGTGTGCTAGCGGTGGTTCTTTTCCTGGAGCCCAAAGGGTCCAAGTACCAATATAGTAGTAGCTACTTAGTACCTTTTTAGGGTTCCCTAGTATGATTTCCTTTTGTAAAACCTTAAAAAGGTACGTTATTCCGGGTGAAGGTGGGGGCTGTGGGTTTAGGGTATCTATCAAAGGGGAAAAGGAGGGACCCTTAATGGGGACCCCTGGGTCCCTATAATGTTTTGTTTTCATAGGTGTATGATAGCAATATTATGAAGGGTATATACCTAGGGGGGTCCTTGTTAAGGGTCCCTCCTTTTGCCCTTGGAATCTACAGGTTCCTTTGAGGGTTCCATTAGAAGGATCCTTAGCTGTTTGGACCCCAAGAGTGTATATATATACATATATATATACATGTATACAAACTACTCTATGAAAAGGGACCCTTTGGGGAATTCAGCAGTGCTCTGTCTTATGAGCGTTTCAGCTTCCGTATTCTTGCCGATGCTTTAGGCTTCAAGCCAGTCCGTGACCACGCGACCGAACTAAGGTCAGAAAAAAGTCTAGTGATGGTGGGTTTATGGGCGAGGCTCTATTTGTCATTTTGTCGGGTGCTGTAGTATTGACAACCCAAACTTACACACCACCGACCAAGGCACGAAACCCTAACACCCCCTAAACCCCCGCACCCGATACCTCCCAAGCCGGAAGGAAGACCGGCTTGTTTGGGTGGGCTACGTGGCACTATGCTCCTCGGCCGCTTGAACTTAGGGGTACTTAGAAATATTTTTAAATTCTTGGTTACTATAATCCCTACGAAACAGATAGAATTACAATTTGTGCTAGGGTTCTAAGTTCAGTTATGTGAAGTAGGGGCAGATGCTCAGCAGGCTCGAGCAGAGTTGAGGGTGCCACAATCAACGAGTGACATGCACTAACCCGGCATTTCCCTAAACCACGGAAGCAGTAGCCCCCAGCCACTAGGGTTTAGGTTTGAAGTTTAGGGGTTCAGGGTTTGGGGAAGAAGTCATATTCATCTATATATATATATATATATATATATATATATACGCATGTCCTTTTATGTATATGTGTAGTATAATATACCCCCAACTCGAAATCTGCTGCTCCTACTACAAATCTAAATGCCCCTACTTTCAACCGCTAAGCTCATTGGTCAGACGAGGGTCATGGGAGCTCAGTAGTGATGCAGGTGGCAAGTGAACCTAAAGCCTGAACCCTAAGTAAAAGCCAGAAAGTTGGAATATGATTCTCCTAAGCCCTTTATGGTAAATTATAAGGTATCCCACCCTGAAACCATATTCCAACTTTCTGGAGTTGCCTTTATAGTTTAGGGGTTTAGTATCCTACCCTAAGGGTCCTAACACTTTAGGGAGCCTCAAAATGTAGGATTTCTGAGACAACAAAGAGACCCAAGGGCTCCTTTTAGGAGATTGCGGACCCTCCTAAGGAGATACCCGGAGCCTTAGGGTAAACTCTAAACCTTCGACCCTACTCGGGAAAAGCTCCCAAAGGGTCCAAAGTACCTATATAGTAGAATGTAGGGTTTCTAGGGAAGTATCTCCCATAGCACTACCTTGGACCCTTTGGGCTCTGAGGATTGGGTAACTCCTGCAGAGGGCACCTGCATCTTGAAGTGCCGCGGCTTCGATGCCAAGGGACGGAGCCAGGTCACTCGGAAGATCGAACGGCTTAGGGCTTCGAGTTTTATGGGTTTGGAGTTTACCCAGAGGCCCCATAGTAGTTCCTTTTTGGGCTTGATGTTAAGAATTCCATAAGGTAATCCCAACAGGAACTACTATGGGGTCTATGGGTAGGGCTTTAGGAGTTTAGGGCTTTTGGGCTTTGGGGGTTAAGGGTCTATATGGGTCTATGGGGTTTCGGGCTTAGTTCGGGGCCTAAGGCTTGCCAGTGCATGTGGTGCTCTTTGTGTGTAGGATTGGGGTTCCCTTGAAGAAGGCCTTACATCCTAAGCCCTGATTGGTGTGTTTGTAGCAAACTGTCATTTGTGTTATACTAATACCCTGATTCAAGCCCGATTAAGCGGCTCACCGTTCGGGCAAGTCAATGCCGCTGAACTGAGGACGAGCCTGGCGACGATGATTTCAACTGGACGGGCATGGGGGACACGCAGCCCCAGATGGTGCACCATGGCACTGTGTATACTATATACTTTCGCTCTCTCTCGCTCTCTCTCTTTCTCGCTCTCCCGCGCCCGCTCGCTGTATACATATACTTATGCATATATATATATATGTATATATATATATATACATACATACATACATACATATATATATATACAGCCCACTACCCAAATCGCTGAAAGCTTTTGCCAACCGAGTCTACACCCCGAAAAGCTGCAACCTCGAAACCCTATCTTCAAAAGACAGCCCGGAAATCATCAACCGCTACATCCTCCGCCTAAGCCCTACCTTAACCCTGAATAACCTACCTTTTTAGGGTTCCTTATTATGATTTCCTTATATAAGTCCGTAAAACGGTAGGTTATTCCAGGTTAAGGTACACCCTAAACAGGAACCATCCCCCGAGCCCTAAACCCTATACCCTTAAGCACCGAGAATGCCCAAAAAGCAGCCGAGGTATGTCCGCATCGATCCTGCTGCAGAGACGACGGGTTCCCAGCGCCTCAGCCCTGGTTTCATGCAGAACCTTAACCCTAAGACTCATATTTTAAGGCTTTGGGCCCAAAGACCATGTGATATAAGGCTTTTGGGCTATTCTGAGCCTTGGGGTAAACTTAACCCCATAAGGACTCATAGTTTCAGGCTCTAAGGGGCCCAAAGACCAAAGCTACTGGATTTAAGGGACTTGGCAGGCTGCAAAAGCCTTCTGTAACGAAAGGCTCTGAAGCTCAGGATCCGCATAAACCTACACCCCAAAAGAAAACCTAAACCTTAGAAGCTGCCCCACCCTGTAATAGTGACTATATAAGCATGATATGAGGGCCCTATTATATTCCTACTATACCACTATGACAGGGTGGGGGCCCCTTCTAACCTAAACCACAAACTAAGCTCCAAGCTCCAAGCTCAGGATCCAACTACACCCTAAAATCCTAGGCCCTAAGCCTAATCCCTGAGCTCAGGATCAACCTCAACCCTACACCCTAAGACCCGAAGTCCGAAGCACTAGAAGCCCAAAGCCTTATAAGCTCTACACACCCTAAACTCTAGTTACATCCCAAACGCTAAACCCTAATTACACCCTATAAACCCTAAACTCTCAGCTCACCCAAAGGGTCCAAGTATCATTCTGGTATATACTTACAGGGCATTTTGGGGGTCTAAGTATATACCATGATGATACTTGGACCCTTTGGGTCAGGATCAACCTTATTCCAGAGACCCGGGCTTCGAAAAGCGCCCTGAACGTTGCCACGGCAGACGGGGCACCGCTGGAGGCTTTGGGTTTCGGGGCTTTCAGGCCTAAAGACAAGCCCTAACCCCCGAATAACCTACGTACCTCTTTAAGGACTTTTAGAAGGAAATCGTATCAAGGAAACCTAAACAGGTAGGTTTCTTAGAGTCCAGGAGGTCTTTAGTTTTTGGAGGTTTTTGGCTTTGTAGGGTTTAGGGTTTAGGCATGTGCTTCGTTTTGCTATTTATTTTTGATATTTGGGTCGATCTGCAATGATTAAGTGAAGGGGCCTTGACAATGTTCGTCTAAGTCCAGAAGCCTCTGGTTGGAGCTCTTGCATAGGTGCTTGGGGTTTCAGCTCAGAGTTTGGGGCTTGGGGTGAAGTTAGAGTTTAGGGTTTACGGCTTATAGGGTTTAGGATTTACTTGCTACATTTTCAGGAAGTAAATAGAGGAACCCATAATAAGGAACCCTAAACAGGTAGGTCTTTCCCCATACTAGTAGAGTTGTTTAGGTTTTAGGGTCGGGAGTTTGCATGCGAAACTCTGAAACCCAGAAGCGCTGAGTCGGATCCCCGCTTCCAAGCTTTCCGTTGATACGTAGAGACCCAAAAAGGACATCAGCACAAGCATTTATTGTAGGGATATCTCTGCCTCAAGTGGGTTTAATTACATGGGATATGTCTATCCTTGGTTTTGCTTGCGTGGCCTTTTTGGGGCCATAGATGCATGATGCGGGGAGTCAAGGCCACTGGGTTGGATATCGGTTTCCGAATTTGGGCCAGGGCCGGTGTGGTCCGAAAACTGTCGAAGCTCGTTGGGCAATGCGTCCCAGAATGACGGTTTTTGAATCATTTGGGTCGTCAGGGCTTGCAGGATGTTGTGGCTTTGGCGCTTTGGGCTTAGGGGGAGCCAGCACAAGGGCAGTTCATCCCAAGAGTGAGAAACAACAGTGCCCACTCCTCTCCTTGAATGCTGAGTATGGAATTCATGAGTGAGCACGGAAAAAAGAACTGCAAGTTTATCTCGGCATAGAAACGGAGACTGCCTCAGTTTTAAGTGTAGATCCGACACCCTAACCCTAAACCTGAATGTCTGAGCCCTAAACCAAGTGAAACGCTTAACCGCTAAGGTTTAACAGACCTATCCCTCCTCCCCACGCCCAGCCCGCCTTCCTCTGAACCATGTGCAGGCCGAATTGGTTGATGCCTTGCACCTGGAACAGATTTATCTGTTTGGGGTTCAATGGGGGCTGTTCCCTTTTACGAGAACGAGATTCACGGCCAATGTTCCTGTAGTGTTCGATAGAATCTCATAGACAGACAGAGACAAATGTAGGCACAACCGCAAACACATAACAAACAACAACACATGCCAAGCCACAACATACAACCACATCGTCAACACCACACCAGCACCACCACGACAAAGAAGAAAAAAACACGAGGAAATCTACGAAGAAGATTGTCAAGAGCAGCAAGAAGACCACCACCGCAACCAGCAGCAAGGCAACCACCAGCAATCAACACCGCAGCCACCACCATCAACAACAACAACAACCACAACTACGACCACGACCACGACGACAACAACAGCCACAACCACAACACCAACAGTAACGGTAACAGCTATAGCAACAGCAACAGCATCAGCATCAGCAACAGCAACGACAACAGCAACGACGACGACAACGACCATGGCGGCGACAGCAGCAACAGCAACAGCAGCAGCGACAGCAACAACAGCAATAGCAACAACAACACAAGCAGCAGATGCAGCAGCAGCAGCAACAACAACAACATCAACAGCGACAACAACAACAGCAGCAGCAAGAACAACTACAACTACAGCTACACCTACACGTACCGCAGCATCAACAGCAACAGCAGAAGCAGCAGCAGTAACAGCAGAGCAAGAGCGGCAGCAACAACACGAACATCCACACCAACACCAACACCAGCTCATCATCATCATCTTCTTCTTCTCCTATTATTTCAATACTATCGTTATCCCCAGCACAATTCGCAGTCTCGCCCGTATCATGTTCATCATTGTTGCGTTCCTCGGCCTAAGAGTACATCACATACTGGTATGGTTGCTTCTATCAAGTTTTATCATACCACAAGGACCGCTGTCTCTGTAAGCAAGTTCTGCTTACGAGTACCTAGCCCTCAATCGCTTGTGGTTCCGTAACACCTCAACCAACTGCTAAGAAAGCAAATTCGCGTGATGGCACCGAGCGACCGCCTTTCTGAAGTAACTCAAGTCCCAAACCGTAAACCGTCAATGCCCAGCAGCTCCTTCCTTTTCCGTGCCCAGGTACAGATCACCAGGCAGCCAGTGATGTTGGAGTCAGATGCACATGCATCACTACGCCCTAAACTCCTCAGAACAAACCACGATGCCATAGAGTTTGGTATTCGGATGCAGTGAGACCATATTCTTTTGATAATGTGCCCTGATGGTACCCAGTCTGTTTTGCACAGAGCTGCCGTTTCACTCCAAGGCGGGTGTGACATGACACGGCAGCGCTTTCCAGATGGAGGTTGTTCGGAGACCCTTCGAGATTTGCATCTTACTGACTGAATTCTGAACCCCGAACCCCTAAACCCAAAGCCCTTGAACTCTAGACACCTAAACCCATATAGATCCTGTATAGGATCGCTTTAAAGAAACCCTAAACCCTCAACTTTCAGCTTCAGCTTACCCTAAGGGTCCAGAGGACCTCATAGTCAGGTACTTGGGTTACGGATAGTAGCTTTGTAAGTTACTACTGGGTTTAAACTCCTTGCTAGCTTTTGCAGAATTGCAGGGGGAAGATGACAGAACTTCCCAAATCCTACACCCGTACGGTACCCTTAAAGAACCCTTGAACCCTTAGCCTTAGAGCAACCTCGAGATGGCGCGGGCTGCGGTAAACGAGTGGTGTTTGCATCGCTTTTGCAGCTTCCTCTTAGGAAGGAAAAATCTGTGAGAGAAACGTGAATACGGGCAGATCCAGGATCAGTATTATATGGTTATAATACTGCTGATGGACAAAATCCTGCATGACCTTAAGGACCCTAAACTGTGGGAATTATGGTATATTCCCTTTATAGGGTCATGCAGGATATTGTCCATCCACAGTATGATTATAATATAGCCCTTAGGGTTCTGAGATATGATGCAGCTACTTAAATTAAAGCTACAGTGAGATACGTACCCAAAACCTTCTACTCCGGTCTCGGGGTCGTTTTGGTTTCTGCGCGTGGGCTTGTTGCTAAGGGTCGGGCAATAAAATCCTAAACCCCAAACCCTTAAACCCAAAGCCCTAAACTCCAGACCCCAAATCCCTAAACCCTAAGCCCTAAACCACTCGACTCGGGGTAGAGCTTGGCTTAAGGCCGGCATGGAGAACCCGGTAGGCAGGGATGAGCCTTGCCGTCTCCGGGTTTCGGGTTAGAGCGGCTTACCCTAAGGGTCCAAAGGACCCAATAATTAGGGTTCCCTTAAAAGAGTTAGTAGGGTTCCTTAACAGGGTTCTATAAGGGGTTCAGAGGATTTTATACTACGGTTTTAAGGGTCCAAAGGACCCAGTTATTAGGTACTTAGGTTTAGGATAGTAGTTATGTAGGTTACCACTTGGGAGAGTGTATGATAGTTAGGTACTTGGACCCTTAGGGTTACAGGGGTTCAGGGTTTGGATAAGATCGAAGGCTCATGAGCCCTAGGTCATGATTGTTGTCAGGTTGAGGGTTTAGGGTTTTGGGGTTTAGGGTTTCAGGGTATAGGGCTTAAGGGTTTAGGGTTTCGTGCTTAGGCTCAGTTTGGGTTTTTAGCTTTCAGGGTTGAAGGTTGGGCCTATGCCATGTGCGTTTCCTGCCAGATTTTCGTATCTGTAACGTCGGATTTGATTTCTGTTCCTTTACCTGGAGGAATTCGCAGGGGGAGATTCGTTTCCGAGCAGATTATGATGATTTAAACCCGGGAACAGAAACTAAACCTCGCCCCTTGAAGCCTTGCTGATGCTGCTACTCAAGCCTCTGCTACAAGGCTTCCTTGCCTTCTGAAACCTCCCATTCCCAAAGGGTCCAAATATCATTCTGGTATATACTTATAGGGCATTTTGGGGGTCTACGTATATACCATGATGATACTTGGACCTTTTGGGAATAATGCACATCCCCGGGCCATGAAGCCCGGAACAAGCGGCCGAAAGCCCTGCCGGACGCCTAGGACGTATTATGTCAATGCCGAGACCGGTGAGGCCCCGGTCTAGGGTTTAGGGTTTAGGGTTTAGGGTCGGTGAGGCCAGGCTAGTTGGCAGAAGAACCTCAACCCTGCAACCCTAAAGCCCTACAACCCTGAGCCCTAGAACCCTACAGCCATAAGCCCTAAGCTCTAAACCCCTACGGCCCTAAACCCTATGCAGTCCAATACCCCAAACCCCTAAAACCTTCAACCCTACAATACAAGCCGCCTTTAGAACCTTTACAGCAACCCTAGTACCGTAAGGCCCTCAAGACTAGGGAATCCCTTAAAGGACACGTAAACCCCAAACCCTAAACCCGATCAAGCTTTGGGGCTCTGGGTTCTCATTTCTCGATTCGAGGGTTTAAGGTATCTGGGATTTGCAATAGGATTCCGGGTTTAGGGACATGGGATTCACAGTTTACAGGGTTTATAGCTTTTCGGTTTAGGGCTTAGAGACAAATGGATTTGCAACTTATAGGGTTTAGAGACGCGGAGGGCTTACAGTTTATAGGGTTTAGGGTTTCAGGGTTTATAGGGCTTAGGGGCAGTGCGATTTGAAGTTTACAGGTTTAGGGTTTTCGGGTTTCGGGACATTGAGCGTTGCATGTGCGGAGTGAAGGAACTGGATCTCGGCGGCTTGCAAGGATTGTCTTGTTCGCCATTAAACCCATAGCCCCCACGCCTAAACTCCAGACCCTAAGCCAGAGAGCCTCAACTCCCAAGCCTTTATAAAGAATAAAGTAACCGTCAACCACAAACCCTAAGCACGAAGCCCAAGCGGTACGAGTTGGCATCTTCTAGGTTTTCCTTGCCAAAAAGGACCTTTTCGCCTTTAGGGTTTGGGGTTTTGGAACAGCTGGGCAAGTCGTGGCTCGTCGCTAACACATGTAAAGCCGAAAGCCTGAGTTATCATCGAGAAACTCAGTCGACAGCATAACGTTCCTTGTAAAGCATGGAGCCGTGCAGTGAGTTTGTACCTTATCGCACTCCGAGCCTTCCAACCATAAACCACCATGTGCTAGCATATAGCTAGAGTATAGACCAGCCAGAAACGTGTATCCATGTTCTGCTGCTGGGATGTAGGCTGGCGGCTTAGTTGTTTGCGCTCTTGGAGCTCTGAATCTCAAGGCCTCGATCCCTCCCAACACCCCAAACTCTCAACCTAGAGCCCTTGGAGGAACCTTCTCGATCCTCATTATAAGGATCCCAAATAAGGTACCCCGAAATTTCCGGAAACTCCCTTACAGCTATCGAAACCCAGCGCTCCGTGTGCACATTCAGACACGCTGGACTCCTCCCGGAAGTCCACATGACGCATGGCTGGGGCCCCCAGCACGGACGAAGAAGAAAGGGGCTTCCAGAAATTAGAACAGAGTTTTGGGGTACGGAGTAGTACTACTGGATATTCCGACCGTTTTATTCCTCCTGTCCTCCAGCTCCTTACAGTTTGTCAACTACCCCTTTTCGAAGCTATCCCCCTGTATTGCTACAGGAGCACGACCCATCGCCTGCCGGTAAGGGTTTTTGCTGACATAGCATAGCCCAGCCGAAGCGAGCCAACCGCAAAAGTCTTAAAGGATATAATATAGGAGAGTATGCTATACTATGCTCTCACGTTAGACAAGATGTATTATGCTAATGCTGAGATGGTATAAGTTGAACTGTTCTATACTTTATAATATTGTGTGGGGTCGCGGCCTTATTTGCTGCGGATTTCTACGCGGTCTAGGGCGTTTTAGTGTTTTGGGCTTGAGAGTTAAAGGATCTAGTTAGGTCTCTGGTTTGGGGGTTTAGTGTCGTAGCCTGACTCCTGAATCCATGCAGCTGTTCAGGTCGGGTGATCTCTTTTCGGATGCTGGGGACGCAGCCTCACAGGCACTTCCGAGCTAATTCCATTCGGCGCCATCGAGTTACCCGAGGTTTCGGACCTGACCTTAACCTGAACCTGCTCTATCGACACGGGAAATGGGAAGACTTGCTGTAAATCCCGGCCGTCACATACGAGTCCTCTTGCAGCCTAAGGCCCCATGCGCCCAAATAGCCTTGACTTTGACCCCAAAGTACCTATATTGGGTGGATATCGGCTTCGTTATTTACGGCTGTTTAGGGCTTTTGGTTTGGAGGTTAGGGTTCAGTGTCATAGTCTACTGTATTTCACCGTGTGCTCTTTTCCGCCAGCCGTGTGTTGGTTGTTCGGGTGCCTGTCTTCGGAGGGTCGGCAGTGACGTAAGCCGTGCAGAAGCCTCATCAACCCTGACTGCACAACCTTAATCCCTGAACCCTATACCCCGAGCCCTCAACACTAGATCCCTAACCCCTGGCCCCGAACCTCTAAACCCCAACCCCCAAACCTAAACCCCTAAACGAGAGAACATCCAGCGCTGGGACGATGAGTGTTTAAGATTTAGGACTTATAGGGTGAAGCTTTACAAGTTTGGCTGAATTCCTAATTACTTCAGACCCGGTATCCTTTAATTTAACCGCAAGCCTGGAGTCCTGAAGCCTAAATCCGAGTCTGGCCGACGCAGGCGTCCCACGCCCCAGCACCGGCTGTGGCCGAGATGTGGAAGAAGCACGGCACCCGGGAGTTGCTGCAGGGTTGGTTTTTCGGTTTCAGTTCCAAAAGCTTTTTGTTTTTTGTTGAAGGGGGGTTGGGTTTAGGTTTCAGTGCTTTCGGGCCTTCAGAGGTTTAAGGTTTTGGGGATTTGCTTAGGGTGCTTCGGGGGTTTAATTGGTCAAGGTTTAGGTTTTAGGGGTCTTGGGATCAGGATTGTTGCCAGGTGCTGATCGTTGTGTGCATGACTAGATGTGAGGGCTTTTATAGGGACTCTGAAGATGCTGGCTAAGCAGTGTAGTGTTGTCCAGATTAGGGCACCTTTGTGTCAACGGGGTCACTGCGATGGTTCTCAAACCTTAAACAGATTTTAAATCATACCTAGTAACATCTAGTAGCCTAGTATATTGACCTTGAGCCCACTTTGATTCCGGAACAGCCCCCTCACCAAGCCCTCAAACCCTTGATGCTTTTCGGAAATACAAGGGGGTGGTTTCGGGATTCTGCACCTCGCAGTTCCGGAGTTCAGGGCTTGGTTTGATGTCTCTTCCGCTTGA